TTTTAACCGTGTTCACAGTCTTGGAATTTGTTTGTTTATTACTTGGTATATGTATGCCACCCTAGGGAGGGAGGGAGGGAGGGAGGGAAGTCTCCCAAGCTCCCTGTCAGCTTCCCACAAGTAAAGTCAATGGGGAAGCCGGCAGCAAGTCGTAAGTCGGTCACACTCCCACTGGTTTATTGACCTTGGCCATTCTGTTTCTCTGTTTAGGTAAGGAAATATCTTTGAAATAACAACCCAACAGGTCACAGGTTGTCTAATAGTATCTAAAAGTGATTTGGGAGATGGACAGTTTATCATCAAGTTTTCATCTGTGGGCTGATATGAAACTCAAGGTAGAGATACAAACGTAAAACAATTTCTGTGTTGGAGAAATTTGTGCCGGATCTCCTTGAAGAGTGCTAGCAAGTAAAACCACAACATCTCAAACAGTGCTGGAGATATCATACTGCCTCTTCCTCCACCTGACACTGTTCTTCTTTTGAACCTTGCATCATATTGCAAGGGATCATTTTTGATAAAGTACACGTTCAAGAGTCAGATGCCATTTAGCTTTCCATCCTTTGAAAGAATGTAAGAACTTATTCAAGGCCATCACTATAGCACACAAACTAATACAATCCTCCCAGAACATAAGTCTAGCCACTCTATGCATCTGATAAAGTAAGTTGCAGTTCACAAAAGTTTATGCCGTTTAATACAATTTGTTAGTCTGAAAAGTGCTATAAGGCTCCTATTTTTGCCACCACAGACTAATACAGCTCTTCTCCTACAAATATTACAAAGGATGTGTCTTGAGAACTGTTGCCACTCATTGCTAGTGACTAAATGACTGCTTCCTGCTGAGCAAGCAGAGACTATAAGAGAAAGGTAAGGCAACCGGTTTCCAAGGAGTTATCTAGGGAAGTCCTGTGGAAGAATTTAAGGGACAGTCCCTAACAAATTTTCCCTCTGTATCAAGATCTGTATTTAAGTAAGCTGAGAAACTGATGAGGAGAAAAATAAGAAATATAAGCCTTTTAACTGGTGGTACTCTAAGAGGCCAAGTGAAGATGAATGGATAGGAATCTGCAATTTTGACTTTTGGTCCTTGTAGCATGCTTATTTTCCTACCTGAAGACAACCTGGTACATATTTGCAGCATATGAAGAAAAAAAAATGAAAGGATTGGAGTGGTGAATGGCAACTTTTTGACTGACAAGAGAGGATGGGGATCGTTCAAGGAAAGGAGATGTTACAACAGAAAGTGACAGTGGAAGCAACACTCCATAAGGAAGAAAGTCAAACAAAGGAGTACAGGAGTTCACGAACGCGTCTGTTCACGAACAATTCGGTTCACAAACAGCTCCGTTCGCAAAATTTTGCCTCCGTTCGC